TGTCTTTGTGAGACAGGGTCTCGCTATGCAGTTCAGGCTGGTCTTGAGCTTACTTTGTAGCCCAGGCTGATCTCGAACTCGCAATGATCCTCCTGCCTCAGCCTCCCAAGTGCTGGGATTACAGGCGTGCACCACTGCGCCTGGCCCCTACACAATGGCATTTTCTAAAGCTCTGTTCAGTGCAAAGTGTCAAAAGTATGAGAGAATAAGCAGCCCTCGATGTCAGAACACAAAACCTGCCAGCAAACAGGTACTAGGAAGCCAGGCATGGTAACACACACCTGTAATCCAGTATTCTGGGAGGCTGAGGCAGGAGGATCGAAAGTTCAAGCCCAGTTTCACTAAGAAAGATCTTTTTATTTTTAAATAAAAACATTGAGAGGCCAGGCATGATGGCACATGCCTGTAATTGCAGCACTCAGGAGTCTGAGGCAGGAGGATCATAGCAAATCTGAGACCAGCCTGGGCTACAAAGTGAGCTCAAGGCCAACCTGAACTGCACAGTGAGATCCTGTCTCAAGAAAAAAAAAGAAACTGAGAATGTTCTCAGGATGTGGCTCAGTGTAAATGCCCTGGGTTCAATCTCCAGTATCACAAAAAAAAAAAAAAAAAGAAGAAGAAGAAGAAGAGGAAAGAGAAAAAGAAGGAGAAGGAGAAGAAAGAGGAGGAAGAGGAAGAGGAGGAGGAGGAGGAGAAGGAGAAGAAGGAAGAAGGAAAAAGGAAGAAGGAAGAAGGAAGAAGGAAGAAGGAAAAGGAGCTAACAGGGCTGAGGATGTGGCCCAGTGGTAGACCGGGTGCTTGGTATGTTGCTTGGCCCTGGGTTCCATCCCCAGTAATAAACACAGAAAAACAACAAAACGGAAACAAACATCTAAGATTCCACCTCCTAGATTTAACACGCACGTACATTTTACTCTACTTCAGGTTCCTTTGTTGAAAAGCAAAAAACAGAACAGATATAGCTAAGCCTAAGCCTCCCCTACAGCTCCCCAACCCAAGAGATAGCACCTTTAACTACTGCGCAAGGCCCATGTTTCTGAGCACTTACTACAACTGATCCTCTCTTATGCATGTCCCATAAACCAGTGGTGGTGAACCTGTGGCATGCCAGCCACCGTGGGTTGTTACTGAAAGCTCTAAAAGGTTCACCATCACTTCCATAAACAATACACGGAAATCCCATTTGACTGATTTTTGTTTTTTGTTTTGAGACAGGGTCTCACTATGTACCCCAGGCTGGCCTCAAACTTATGCCAATCTTCCTGACTCAGCCTTCTAAGTGCTGGGAATATAAGCCTACACCACCACACCCAGCCATTTGTTGTTGTTTTCAGGCTGTGCTCAATCTTCCAGCAATCCTCCTGCCTCAGCCTCCCAAACAGTAGGATTACAGGTGTGCACCACTGTGCCTGGCAGGTTTTAAAATTTATGGGATCATCTGCAACTTGCTTTTTTCCACTGCACATGAAGTTGGGAGATATACTTTAGGACTGGGTAAATCTAACCAGAATTTTCCTTCATCCTTCTGTGATCCTCCAAAATGAACAAGTCAGAGCACCATGCAGCTCCTTTGGCTTTATGAATATCGTAGATATTTCAGCCACTTCATAATTTTTCTTCAGTGCTGGTGACTGAACCAAAAGCCTCCCCCATACTAAGCAAACACTCTACCACTGAGCTACAGCGCCAGCCCTTTTATTCTTGAGACCGGGTCTCACTAAATTGCCCAGACTAGCCTCAACCTTGGGATCTTCGTGCTTCAGCCTTCCAGAGTGCTGGGATTACAGGCGTGTGTCACCACGTCTGGCTAATGTTTTTTAATACTAGCTGGGGGTTGTACACTCAGGTGGCTTTCACCCCAAGAAGCAACCACAGACAGACTCAGAGAGGTTAACTAATCTACCCTGAGTCATACAACTATTTAGTCAGTGAGAGTGCCAGGATTCGGCCATAAGCCTGTCCAAAGTACACACACCTATGACACCATTACCCCAAGTCTACTTTGTCCTTCACTGTCGTCCTCCAACCCAATTTTCACTCCAAAACGGCTGCTTCTAGGCCACAAGTCTACTTCCAGAACTTTCATTCTAACTGGGTATGGCGGTGCACGCCTGCTATCCCAGTGCTCAGGAGGCCAAGGTAGGAGGATCACCTCGTTTGAGGCCATCGTGGACCACACAGTAAGACCCTGTCTCAAAAAAACTAAAAACAAACAAACAAAAATAGAACTTTCATCCTTATGCCTGGAGAGGAAACCTATGCAAGAACTTGCCAAAAAGCAAGGTGATAAACCGGTCTAAAATTACTTGCAAGATGGGCACCAAAGGAGCTACTCTTGCCTGTAATCCCAGCACTCTGGCAGGCAGAGGCAGGAGGATTACAAATTCCAGCCCAGCCTAGACAACTTGGTACATAGTGAGACCCTGTGTCAAAACAATTTTTTAAAAAACACAGGCCTGAAGATGTAGTTCAGCGCAGAGGCCCTGGGTTCCATCCCCAGCAGCAAACAGGCAGGGAGCAAGGAGGAAAGGGCAAGCTCCCCGCAAGTCAGGATCTCATCACATCCAGGTACTCAGCGGCAGGGACAGAGCCCTGGCCTGGGCTCCTCCTGCTGGCTGCAAGCAGATTGATTTCCTAGGAATTCACAGGCTCATTTACAAGATACAGTGGCTGTTTCTCCAGCTGTTACTGGGATCATCACTTCCCTTCTCATCTGCAGCAGCAGCAACAGCAATAAAAAAAGCCTGGGGTGGCCCAGGACAAGCAGTTCTCTTACTGACCTTGCTCTGACCCCAAGGTAATCCCAAGGCCTGCTCCAGCCTTCCAAGGGGCTGGCTCCAGCCAAGGCTCAGAACTGACCTGCTCTATGGGCTGGGCATGGCGGTAAACGCCTGCCATCCCAGCACTCGGGAGACTGACACAGGAAGATCACCCCAAAGGTGAAGCCAGCCTGTGCTACACAGTGAGTTCAAAACCAGCATGAACTACATAGTGAGACCCTGTCTGAAAACAAAAACAAAAACAAGGCTTGTGAGAGAAGCTAACCTCACAGTAGACTGGAGGTAGCTTGAAGACAAAGGATGAGCTTAGTACCTAACAGAAATTCATCCTTTGATGCACAGAACTGAAACCATTCCCTAGGAGCTGGGAATTTAGCTCAGCGGCACAGCTCCTGCCTGGCAAGTGCAAGGTCCTGAGTTCAATTC